ACCAAGTCACCTGGGAAGAAAAAGCTGAACTGAAGACTTGCCTGGTTCAGTTTGGTCTGTGAGACATTTCTTAATTTCTAATAGATGTAGGAGGAGGCCCAGTCCACTGTGAGCAGTGTCATCCCTAGACAGGCTGTCCTGGGTTTTATAAAATAAAAAAAAAAAAAACTAGCTGAACAAGTCAGGGGAACAAGCCATTGAGCAGCATTTCTACATGGTTTTTGTTTAAAGCTCCTAACTTGAGCTACTACTTTGGCTTCCCTGGGCAATGGATTGTGACCTGGCATGTAAGCCAGTTAAGCTCTTTTGTCCCCAAGTTGCTTTAACATGGTGTAAGAATAACAATGGAGAGCAAACTAAGACAATCCCCAAGCAGAGCCAGCAACTGGAGACCAAGTGTTAAAATACATGAGACTGTGATGACATTTTTCATTCAAACGAGCCAATTGATGTGTCTTCTAGAGCGCTCTTGACCCACTTGGGCTGCCATAAGAAGATACTGTGAATTGGTGGTCTGGGTTAGGAATTTATCAAAGTTGATACCAGAGAAGAACCAAATGAACAAAACATCAAGTTTCAGTAGTGCGAGGAGGTGAGCCAGCAATAAGGATCCTTCCTTTCTTCTTCCAGAATTTCTGTTCTCTTCACCAGAGCCCCACTGCCTCTGTTATTCTCCTACCTGTCCACTCTGGAGGTCATGCAATGGGGTAAGATAGCCCAGGCCAGGTGTTTGTCTTCACACACAGTGAGACTGCCATGATGTTGGGGAAGTCCTGTGCATTTGTCAATAAAGTACTGTCTGGCCAATGGGGAATCTAGATAGGAGGGACTAGGAGTCCAGGAGGATTCTGGGAAGGAGAAACAGGAGAGTCGAGATGTAACACCATTGGGGTAGGAAGCCCGGAAACCTCTCCGGTAAGAGACATACTTAGATTAACAATTATGGGGTAATTACTTAAGTCAGAGCTAGCCAGTAAGAAACAAGCAAGGCCAACAGCTTCATAATTAATATAGCCTCCTGTGTGTTTATTTGGGACTGATGCAGATCTGGAACCAGGCGGGCGGGAAGGCTCCTCTCAAGAAAAGCTTCTCGTAACAGCCATGCTCTCTCTTAGTCTGTGAATCAGGAAGAAACAGGGATATGTCTTTTGTGGGCAATGGAAAAGGCATTTCATCTTAAGCCCTATGGGTTATAAAGGAAAACTGAGGCTCAACAGAACATTTCCCAAGCAGAAATACCAGTCCCAAGAAGCTATTATCTTTCACTCCAGAGTGTTTCTGATAACATATTATCCTAAATATGGTCAGAAGGAGGGGGAGCCCCGCAGCCTGGTCATACTGGATATCTATAATGATCTCAGGATTGCAGGTGACACTTGGAAGCCAGAGTGAAGGAGGGATGTGAGCTCATGTGAGAATTCCCTACACACAGGAGCTCTGCTTTGGGCTACTGTTGAGTAGATATCCTGTGTCTGTTTCCTCCTGCCTGTAACAAATTTGCATGAAACAGGACACCAAAGATGGCTGAGGCAGTTTAAGAACTTGCCCAACACCAAAGTCCCTGAAAATGGGCAGATGAAAAGTAGCTTCTGTGCTTTTCCAGGGTCACTGAGGAGCATCCATGGGGGCAGAGGGACTATGGGCCCAGCAGAAGGTGTTGCCAGTAGCTCCTAGAATGTTGCCTGACTCTTCCTCTTTTCATCAAGATAGAAAATGGTGGATCACCGGGAGTTTTGCTGTGGCTGTTGACAGTTCCAAATGGTTTTTACTTTCAACGTTGATGTTCCTGGGTCCTTTTCCCAAGCTGTGCATGGTTACATATTTGTCCTTGAGGTGACCCCTCTATGGCGATGAATATACTCTTCTTCCTTAAGGTCTCACATAGTTTGCGATAAATTTACATCGCAAATTTGGAAAGGACTTAGTGTTTCTCAGCACAGTAGGCACAAGCTGGAGCCAGTGGGGGCGGAGCCTGCTAAGAGCCTGGATTCTAGGCACTAGGTCACATTGGTGTTTCTATGGGGCAATGATCCAGGGAGGATGGCTTTGGAGGTTTCTCCAGCAGCCATGCTTTGGGCTGTGGGTACCTTTCTCTTCCAGACTGAGTCCTCTGTTTTTCCAAATATCTTAAATATGAGTGTACAAAGATGACCACTTATGCTAAGTCTTATATGTCGCGCCTGCTGCGAAGCCTGTATCCGAGAATGTGGCAAGGTGGTCGGGATAGATGACACAGAGACCAGTCGTTTGCCGTAAAAAAACTTTATGCTCCCCAAATCGGCTTAGGAGAACTTCCCAAGAAAAAGCGCTTCCCTTCAGAAAGACTTCTGCCATCCATACACGCACAAATCTCCAACAGACCTCTCATACACCCCTCACAGCCCTCTCCCTCCTACTGGCTGGTAGTTAAATCTCTGGCACCAGAATTGGGAAAAACAGCAGGGAGCAGGAAGTAGCTAGCCATCGGGGGAATCAAAGCCAGGGTGTTTCAGTGACTGAGCCCTTATCAAGCCCTTATCAGGAATTTATGGCACTGAATTGTTTTCAGTAAACATGTTTTCAGTAAACATTGTCTCCAGCTGCCTGCTCCCAGGCTGATCGAGGAGTGGGTTTCCGGCCAGGGTCTGTGATCCCCACACTTATAGGATAAACTTCTGAAATAGAGAGAAACTTGTCCACTGTGTCTCCCAACCACGTTTCATTTTCCCAGTTTGTGTCTGCGTGGATGCAGGTGCACACATCCCATGGTGTACATGTGGAGCTCAGAGGAAAGACCAATACATTAGCCCCCCTCCCCCCCCCCCCGCTTCCCACCCTCTTTGAGATATGGTCTCTTCCTGTTTCCTACTGTGCATACCAGGTTATCTTGCCCACAGGCTTCTGGCAATTCTCCTGTGTCTGCCTCCCATCTCTGTAGGAACACAGGAATTAATCAATGCACTAAATGGGTACTAGGGATTCGAACTCATGTCCTCACACTTGTTCAGCAACTGCTTTACCACTAAGCTATCTTCCCAGCCCAAATAATGTTTTATAGAGGAGAAAAAGAAATCCAGAGGGTATGTAACCTGTCCAGCATCAACACAGCAGATATTGAGTACTGCACAGAGCGGCTTTGATCAGTAGTGTCACTAAGCAGGGAAGAAGAGACAGGGGAGATGGGAGGCAGGAAAGAAAGAGCCTTGCCCTACGTTAGTTCCTACCATGTGCCAAGCACAGGCTAAGTGTTTTCAAGGCCTTTCCTAACTTCAACAGTCATAAGTCCTTATTGACTTCATTTAAAACCCCAAGCCCACAGCCAACAAATACACATGCAGGGCTATTAGGATATTAGTATCACCAGAGGGCAGATGTCTCTGCAGCATTGGAAAACAAGCTAATCAAAATGACAACTGCCTCTGCATTCAGACAGCCTAACTTTTAGCCTGCAAGACAGCAGGAGCACAGACTTGTGACAGACTAAAGCCTAAGGACATGCTGAAGCAGGCCACTGGGAGGTGCTGCCTCCCCAGCCCCCTCCTGCTTCTCTATAGAGCCCTTGTCTCTTCCCCCGCAGCTCACTTTCAGGTGCTGTGTGGGTTCTTCCTGTCCTCTTTGCACACATCCTGCTGATTCAGAGTCCCACTGACTATGCTACTCAGAAGCCCAAATTAAAACAGCAAGACACCGTGAGGAGCAGCATGGGCCAAGTGACACCTAGCAGGCGCTGAACACTGCGTCTCATTTCGTCTTCCCCACAACCTGCATCCTTCTCCTATTATATATTTGAGAAAAGAGAAGAACAGTGAGGTTGGCCCTCCTGAAGTCACCCGGCATAGGTAGGAATCTCACCTATCCAGTTGTGGAGCCTAGGTTTCTAAGCATGAACCATCCTGCTGTGGGGCCCTGCCCTAGAACCAGAAGATAGATACACATGAAAAGGTAATTCCATCAAAACAGGAAAATGCCATTTGCAAAATCAAGTCAAAGAAGAACAAAACTTTTCTCTCAAGGAAGTATGAGCACCGGTGTGCAAGCTGAGCAAGAACTCAGCACCGGTGTGCAAGCTTCTCTTGAGGTGGCAGCACATGTGTGTATTAGAACCAAAGGTGGGAAAACAAGCAAAGGACAAGAAGAGGGAAGTCTGGAATTTGTCCAAATGGCCGAACTATGTGAAAAAAAAAGTTGAATTTTCTAATTAAAACAGAAACAAAAGCAAGGAAAGATTTTGGAACTGACAGAACCAATTAGCTGAGCATTTGTGGGAGAGCACCACCCCAGGCAGTCCCTAAGCACACATCATTGCTGCTCTTGGTTCCGTGTAAAGAGAACTGATTAATCGAGGAGTTCATTCTCTGGCACCTTAACCTTAAATTAACCTTCATTTATCCATCACATTGATACTTTTTAATTTTTATTTCATGTGTGTGGATTTTTGCCTGTATATGTGACCAGTTACTTGTGCATGCCCGGTTCCTACGAGGCATCAAATCGCCTGGAACTGGAATTGCAGGTGGTTGTGATCCCATGCCCTGTATCTTTCCCTCTCGACAGGAAGTGTGGGTGCTAGAAATCACACCCAGGTCCTCTGGAAGAGCATGAAGTGCTCTTAACAACAGTGAACCATTGCTCCAGCCCTCGTACTGATTCTTAACTGGTGGAACATCAGAATTTGAAAACAAGCCCAAATCTGGTTTTGTGAGTGAAGAGATCAAATCAGGAGCCTAAATCCTTCTGGAGGAAGAGATCTGTCTCCATGGTTTCTGCCCTCCCTACCTGTCAGGAGCTTGGGTCTGTGTTGGCAAGTGTAGCCCAGGAGGGGCAGCAGGGATGGGTGTCAGGCTACTCGACTGGGTGTCTGGCACTGTGGTTGATACGGTAAGTGAGACATCAGAACTTCCGGGTGGAGGGAGCCCAGAGGCTGCTCACAGCTGTGGTTTGTTTGCTCATCGGGTGGATGCTGAACTGTAAGAAGTTGGACCCAGAAACAAGGATGGGAAAGGACCCAGGGAAAGATAATGCTGATAAAGGATCCACATGGATGCTTCTTTATCTCAACCTAGGAAAGCTCCCAAATAAACCCATGCCCCTACCCACCCAAACAATTGGGAGCATCCTGGGCCATAGCTGCAACAGAACCTGAGTGGTGATGGCCGGACTCCAGGGAAGGTCACATGGTGTGGCAAGCCAGTTAAGTCCATGTCGCTGGTGCTCCTGTTGTAAAAGTCTTTCAAGCAGCCCACCGGGAGAGCTCTCACCAGACAAGAGTCCTCAGTATTATGTCTTCTTTCCACCTCTCCTGATGTTGTCTTTTAAGATGAGTGCTAGGCATAGGTAAGTCTACAAAAGGAATGTCACAGGACAAGATACTTTTTTCTGAACCACCATTACGAGCAAAGACATACTTCCCTCCTTTACTGGCTTTAGCGTACTGAACCCCAAATGCCCCACCGTGCATGTCGATGTTGAGTCTGTGGGATCAGAAGGCTAATGTGGGCTCGTTTCCCTGGCTCCCTTTCAGATTTTCCCATCTCCCCACAACCTTGAGAGTGTGTCACTACCCTGAATTTTTCCCTCACCTGAACCCTCCTCGTGAAAGTGTTGATCTGCTCTCCCCCAGGTCAATTGTTTGAGTCACGTGCACCTTTCCTCCTCTTTTTAATGGATTTTATTTCATATTTTACCTTTTGAGAGCTGTCTTGGATTTGAGGAATAATTCGTGTGGCCAGCAGAGAGCCTTCCCCTTCCTCCCCACAAACTTTCCCATCATGAATGCCTTCTGTGTCGGTGCCTTTCCTTGGCTAGGACAGTACAATACTGGTGTATGATTGCTAACGCCATGGGGCACTTTGTTCATCTTCCTTGGGTTTGGTTTGTACCTGGTCTTTTCCCTTTCTGGACAAGGATCTGGTGGAGAACACCCTGCTGTTTATCTATCTCTCCACCCTTCTCAGGCTTCCCTAGCTGGGGCAGTTCCTCAGACTCTCTTTGTCTCTGAGTGTGAGGAGCACTGCCCAGGCATTTGTGAGGTGCCTCTCTTCTTGAGTTTTTCTGACATTGTACTTATAATCAGTGGCGTTTTAGTCTTTGTCAATGGTTAGAGGGGTGAGGTGGAACCGTAGTTGTATCACGTTAATGGAATTAGTGTGATCGATGATGGGAGTGGGCCTTATGGCTTGGCTGGGGAAGAGTTTTCCTCGCGGTAGAGCTGTCCCATTGTCTCTGCTGTCCACACTGTGCTCTCGAGCTAAGAGACTCCACCAGCCTCATGCTCTCCTTCCTCCAGGATGCAGCAACCACCTACTTTATCTGCCATGAGCTATTTGTCGCTTTGCTACTTATTTATTTGTCATTCCTTTATATCTGTACAGACTTGTGGATATTGACTTCATGCTTTGTGTTAAAATCCAAGACAATGCCACTTATCGCTCAAATTGTCCCCACTTTGTCCATGGGAACTTCTTAAATTTGTCCCATTACCCTTTAATACAACCCGTGGGGGGGGGGTGTGTGTGGGTGTGTGTGTAAAATGCTCCTGGTGTTCATCCTTGGTGTGTGGTATGTATGTGATGTCTGCATGGGATATGTGTGTACTTAGCACATGTAAATGTGTAAATGTAATATGTATGTGCCACACACATGTGATATGTGATGGTGAGCAGTGTGTATATATTGTGGATACATGTGATGTATGTGAATGTGATATGCATGATTTGTACACATGTGATATGTGCTGGTGTGTGATTTGATACAAGTGCATGGGATATGTATATGCTGTGTCCATGTGATATGTGATGTATATGATATGTGTGTTTGTGCATGCTATGCTCATAAATCCCTCATCACTTTCTTCCTTGATGGCAGCAGGAGATTCTGTCTTTGTTTCATCACTGCTCTCAGCTATTCTTAGACCTGTTCTGAACTCTCTTTTAACAGGGAGAAAACAAATTCCCCAACTATAGGAGGGCCCAGTGCCGAGTGTGCTCTTGTGGTAACCCAGTGATACTCAGTGCTCTCAGATGTTCAAGCATGTTTTCATGTGCCACGTTAGCCTGCCTCTCAAAGGCCAGCAAGTCTGATTTCAGAGATTCAAGGCATTAAAGAACCAGGTGGGAGCCGTAGAGGAAGTAAATGTAGGACAAGAACTCAGTCTTTGCTCCTGGGAATGGAGACACCCGACAGTGTGGCTCTGGAGGAAACACCCCCTGCCTTTCTTTAGGACAGGCCTCTGTGTCTTCCCCATATCCCACTTGTTTGAAACCTGCCCCAGGGCCCTTGGTGAAGGATGGATAACTTTTGTAGCACAAACTATGCCTCTGCACGCAGCTCTGCTATCCAGTAACGGTGTAAAGAAAGCATCTGTATACCAGCAGTGTGAGTCCACTCTAGCAGTGTGAACAGTGGGAGTCCACTCTAGCAGTGTGAACAGTGGGAGTCCACTCTAGCAGTGTGAACAGTGGGAGTCCACTCTGCTGGCCTCAGAGAGCTCAGGGTGGATTCAGATGGCATTCAGGGAGTGAAGGGGAAGCATAGCGGCCATATGCCTAAGCTGTTCTATTTTAAGGAGAGAAGAATCTCATTTATACATCAGTCTCGGGTTTAAATGTTTCGATGGGGTATCTGTTTTCTCAAGGAACTATTTTTTTTCCTCTTTATTTGAATTGAGATCATTTTTTTCTTATAAGGATGCAGCTGCATCTGGACCTCAGAAGTGAGGACTGTCTGGCTCAGCACAAGGTTTTACAGACTCCTACGAAGCAGCAGAAATGGTACCCAAGGTGATAACGGGAAGGAGTGGGGTTCATGCTTATGTACTGTTATGGCTGGACCGCTGATCCAGCAGGCATGTGACAAGGGACATTCTGCTGGCCTTGGCCCTAGCTCTACAGAAGGCAGAGCTGGGGATGCCCTCCTCTCTCTCTTGCCATGGTGGGGACCCCTGTGGCCTGAGTCAGGGCTCTGATCTTCTGCCAGAGTCTGCCCAGTCTCGGGCTTGACTCCAAGGAGTCTGACCCCTGAAGGCACAGTTTCTGCCAAGAGGAAGGGGGAAGAGCTGGGCTGAGAAGCATGAGCCAAGGCTCTCAGAACCAGGAGTACAGCTTGTATCTGTCCTCAACATCTCTGGCAGCCATAGGAGAAGGAGCTCCACATTTCTCTCTAGCCCCAAGGGTCGGTCAGACTCTGGCATACATTCAGCCCCCGAGGGAGGAAGGTCTCAGCCCTTTTGATGCTTGGAGTCATGACAACAATCCCCCCTGTCATTCCTCTTCCACTGATTGTCACTTCAGACCACGACTTACTTCTAAACGGCACTTGTACGCACCCCACCCTCACGCTCTGTTAAGTGACTGCAACAGCAAGAAGGGGCCCAGCAAGATGGCAGTGTGAGGTGCACTACAGGCTGGCGTTAAATCACCAGAGACCCACAGCATCCCAGTTTACACAAGCCAAAACTAAAGCTCCAAGGGACTTGCAAGCTGTCGAACCGTGGTTCTCAGCCTGTGGGCTTTGACCCCCTTGGAGGGGCAGCATATCAGTTATTTACATTATGATTCATTAGTTATAGAATAGTAACAAAAATACCTTTATGTTTGGGGGGTCACCACGGCATGAAGGTCTGTATTAAAAGGCCACAGCATCAGATGAGAACCACTGCTGTAGAGCCAGGATTCTAGCTTGGATTCACCTGACTCCCAAGTCTTTGTACTAACTGCTGGGCTTAGCTCTCTACTGGGTCCAACTCAGGGATCAGAAGATCTGGAACCTCACCCATCCTTCTCATTAGCTGGCTGGGTAACATGAGTAAATCTCTGTCCGTTTCTGATCATCTGATTCATTTTGAGTCAAATGAAGGCAACGTTACTACCTACTTACCAGGATATGTTGAAAATATGTATATGAAAATGATCAGCTAAGCCAGCTGTAGCTGCATAGACCTGTAATTCCACCATTTGGGAGGGCTGAGGTGGGGGTGTTGCAAGTTCAAAATCAACATGGGCTATATTACACATGGAAGCCTTGTTTCAAAACAAAACATTTCTAAGCTGTTGCCCTGATGCCAGGCCAGAGAAGCACTTCCAGAGCTAATGCCACCACCCACCTTTTGGGGACTGTCATTCCTTCTTAGGGAGCTTCATGCTCAGGAGGGGAAACTTAAATCTATTCATCGGAGATTTCAATCACGTTGATCTTCAAGGACCAGCAGGAGAACTGGAATTAGGGCATTCTATCTCTCAGGAACCTCAGGCTCTCGTACTCAGAGCTGCAGGGGGGCAGGGTCCACTAGCTGTACTGTAGGCCTGTGCATCCCATGGCTGAGCTTACATCCTTCCCGTAAACGAGAAGGGGGAGTAAACTCTCTCTGCCCCATGACAAGTGGCCCTCCCCATTTGCCGCTTACTTCCTTGTTGCATACCCACTTCCTCCAGATTGAAACGTGCCAAGGGAGGCTCATCGGACTCCATCAGGAAGCTGAGGCTTGGGAAGCTCACTGCAGTCCTAAGAGTTGCGCTCAGAAAGTGGAGAGTCTGGAAAAGAGCTGCCCCAGGGCTCTGCGAACACTAAAAGCCATTGCAGAAAGAAGACATCATTGGGTTTGCCTGCCCGTTGGGTGGGGGTGTGGGGCCTCCGGGGATGCAGACCTGTGAGTCCCCGCTGGTTCTAAGGTGGCTGCCTTTGGGTTGACCTTGCTCTTTGGTGCCCTGTCTTTGCCCTGTCATCAGCGCTTTCTCTGGGGTGAACAGACGCTTGTTTCTCTCTCTGTAGGAAGAGTCACATAGTGTCTCCCCGTGTGCCACCGCTCTGCAGCCAGCTGTGCAGTTTCTCTCTTCTCTACTGCCGTGCATGACGAGACTGGCTTGCTCTCCTTGCTGCACCTCTTCAACTGCTGCCTCTCACCGTCCACCAGACGCGTGACTCCTCCCTGCTTGCTGTTTTCCAGCCTCAAGAGTCCCACACAGCAGAGTTTGGCCCAATTACTTTGAATCCGTGGCCCGTTCCAGCCTGCTCATCTTGCCCGGTTTTACCTTCCCCGTGCCATTCCTCTCCAGACAAGCTAAAGTTCACTCGGAAGAGCCGCGTGACCCCTGCTTCCGTCTCTGCTTCCTGACCTGTATGTACTTCAGAACCCCGTTTCCAAGGTCTCTTTCAGAGGGTCCCTGTACCAGATAGAGTGCAGGAGTCACTTGAACTTCTATGCAGCCCTTCCTTAGGCCTACTGCTACTCTCCCAGACCACAGGGCCTGTGGAGGCCTGGTGCCTCATCCTTGGGCCACAGAGGAAATCATTCAGAAAGAGCTATCGCCCTATCTGCAATGATGAGAGACCAGGGCTCAGAACCA